CAGGGTTCTCCCTGGCCAGTTCCCGGATATTAAAAAAATATAGAGTTTGTTTTTGTAGTGATTTGTTCTTAAATTTGTAGAGGCGTCTAAAAAAAGTTTTCCCTGGCCAGGTCCCGGATATTCAGCAAGATTGAAAAAATAACAAGCAAAACAATAAACATTCATTTATTAAAATTTCTTAACTTTCTGGAGGCCTCCATTTTTTTGTTTTTTGAGTAATATCCCGGGTTCTCCCTGGGCCAGTTCCAGGATATTGGAAAAAGTTGAAAAACATGAATAAATTGAATAATTAAAAAGATAATAAGTCTTTATATTTAATGTATATTCTTTTAATTTCTGGAGGCCTCCAAAAAAATGAAAAAAATAAAAAATAGTTTCCCGGGTTCTCTCTGGGCCAGCTCCAGGATATTTAAAAAAAAAAAAAAAGATCAAATAATTTAAATAATTCAAATAATTTAAATATTAATATTATTTTTGTAGAATATATAAAATATACATAGTTTCCCGGGTTCTCTCTGGGCCAGTTCCGGGATATTTAAAAAAATCAAAAAAATAAAAAAAAATAAAAACAATATATCAAATCATTCGAATATTTGTTTTGTTTATGTTTTTTCTAAACTTCTGGAGGCCTCCAAAAAAATGAAATTAACAAAATAAATAGTTTCCTGGGTTCTCTCTGGGCCAGTTCCAGGATATTTAAAAAAATTGAAAAAATCAAATAATTTAAATAATTCAAATAACTTAAATGTTTATATTTTTAAAATTTAAATTTCTGGAGGCCTCCATTAAACAAAAAAACAACAGAAAAATAGGTTCCCGGGTTCTCTCTGGGCCAGTTCCAGGATATTTAATAAAAAAAATATCAAAATTAAAAATATATATATATCAGAAACTCAAATAATTTAAATATTTTTACTTTTTTAATTTTATTGAAATATCTGGAGGCCTCCAAAAAAAAAAAAAAAAAAAATAGTTTCCCGGGTTCTCTCTGGGCCAGTTCCAGGATAATTGAAAAATTAAAAAAGTCAAATAATTTAAATGATTCAATTAAAAAAAAAACAAAAAAAAAAACAATCTGGAGGCCTCCAAAAAAAAAGTTTCCCGGGTTCTCTCTGGGCCAGTTCCAGGATATTTCAAAAATTTCAAAAATCAACTAATTTAAAAATTTAAAAAATATAAATAGTTTCCTGGGTTCTCCCTGGGCCAGTTCCAGGATATTTAAAAAACAAAAAAATCAAATAATTCAAAAATTCAAATAATTTAAATATTTATATTTTATTGTTTTATTTTTTTAAAAACAATCCTGGAGGCCTCCAGTTTGTTTTTTTTTTTGTTTTTTTTTTTTTAATATATGTGTTTTTTTTGATTTTTTTTAAATATCCTGGAACTGGCCCAGGGAGAACCCAGGAAACTATTATTTGTTTTTCAAAAAACTTTGGAGGCCTCCAGAAATTAAAAAAAATGATTTAAACAAATAAACAAAAAAAGTTGTTTTGTGTGTTTTTTTTTTTTTTTTTTTTTTATATATCCTGGAACTGGCCCAGGAAGAACCCGGGAAACTTGTTTTTTTTTTTTTAATGGAGCCCTCCAGAAATTAAAAAAATAAAATAAAAATCATTGTTTAACAAAGTTGTTTTTTTTTATTTATTTATTTATTTATTTATTTATTTATTTATTTTAATATCCTGGAACTGGCCCAGGGAGAGCCCGGGAAACTGTTATTCAGGGCCTTGGGCGACACATAGGCCCAATTTTTCCCTCTTACGGGGGGGGGGGAGAAAAAAAAGCAAGCATTTTGGAGCTGCCAGGAAGGTTTCTTTCCAATTGTCCTTTTGATTTCACTTTAACAAAGAAAATATAAACAACACGGGTAGCCGGGGTGCCTCAAAAAAGCACGGACCCACAGCGGTCAACCATTTAGGATCTCAAAGTCACGCGCAAAGACAGGTCACGCGACCAAGCCCAGGATGTCTAACTGAAGCGCCTACAAAGAGGATCCTACCATTAAACACTCGGAGGGCTCCTTTAGGAATGCAGTTGACGTTGTTTGAACCATGCTTGTCTAGACATTTTTAATACAAGGGTTTGGCCCAGTCGGAAGGACACCAACACGAAAGATTGTTTCATCGAAATTCCGTGCCTTTTTCCATGATTCTGGGTGAATTATAATAATTATTTCACCATCGTGGTTCAGGGGCTATTCCGCACATAAACCACCATTTGGGGTGAACTCGGTCGTGGTCGTTATGATTCACCCAGATGTTTATACCAGGTGTTGAGGGCAACATAGAACTGCGCAACCCGGGAAAGCACCGACCCCCGGGTTGAACCGAGCGTGCCATGTTGAAGACGGCGATCTCCAGTTGGCCCCGCTGCTGGCAAAGCTCCTCCAGGAGGTGTTGTGCCAAAGGCCAATTCCTCACGCATCGCGAAGACGAGGATTGACAAGCTTCATAGCTAGCTGCCCCAAAAGTCACCCCCCTCCCAAAATCCACAACATATTCATGGGAGACTTTCCTTATTGAAGCTTGGCTGGAAGCGCAGGCGAGGTTTGCAGACATCCAACTGTGCCATGGATAAAACTCTGTTTGTTTGGCCGATTGGGTCATGGTTCCCTTTTTTAGTAGGAATCATTCTATCCGAGCGCATTCGCAAAGTCGATGTCAAACCAACAAACGGCCCATTTGCAGGAATCATAACAAATACTACCAGGTCCCTATTAACCCCAAGGGCACTTATGGGCCTTATGGGTACCCGTGTGTTTTGAGGCTACCCTTTTCGGGGGTGGTAGATCCCTCATTTTTGTTTGCCGGTGCCGGTGCCAAAGGATTTTGGACCGGACCCGTGGGTTTGACAGACGATTTTCGCCTACCAAGGGGAACTCAGCTTCAGTTGCTTTAAGGAGCCGAGGTGATGCTTGAAACCACCAAGAGAGGGAGCATAGGAACCCCTGCTTGAAGACATCCAAATGGGTATGAGGGGGGCCTTCAAAACCATCCCAATACATGGTATACCCTCAAGAATCGCACACACGCAGATCCAAATTACCCAACCGACTGAGCATTCCCCAGGAGAGCACGCAAAGGACGAATGAGTCATAAGCAAAACCTGGTATTCAACAAGTACCAACGTGGGCTTGTCTATTTTGTTCTGAGTCGGAAAAGAGGCCTTCCGGAGGTTGTTTACAAAGGAAAGAATAAGCCCAGGTGGTATCCCCAACACTATCGACCACATCCAAAGCTTCCATCTGGGGAGAAAGCGCACGACCGAGTTCCGGGTTGCCTATTGCCACTTTATCTTATTCGAGACAAACTTGCCGGTGCTCAGTAAGGAATAGCCCATGTTGTATTCCATTCAAGGAAACCACAAGGGATTGTTTATAGGGGGCATTCCATTTCTCATTCCCTGCCTAATTATCGAACCTGCAAGAAAAAGACTCCACACCGCCTTCGACCCAACCATGGACCAACAGGATGCATTTTGGGTAGGGGCTTGCGTCAGAGGCAGGGGTCCTTGGGGGGGGAGTGATTTGGGGTGCTTGTGGTCGCGAACAGCCCCGAAAGGGGTACCCATCAAGGGAATGGAGGATGACCAATGCACCAATTAGCACCCAAGCGGTCAACTGTTTGGTTCTTTCAGTCGAACCAAGGAGCCATATGTTGTTCTCATCAAAGCAGTATTGGGGTAGCATGTGGGTATGTGTTAAAACAGGGGATCACAAACAGGTGTTTTTCCTTCTTGCTTTCCCTTCTATTCAACCTGAATTGGCTACTCACTCCAAACACAAAGGCGCGTGCTTGCACCAAGCTGCCCAGTGCTCTTGCACCGGCGCATCTCATCTCGGCAGTCAGTTCCCATGGCGATGCATCCCTTCGCGTACCTGACCTGGGTGCCCTGAGATAAAAGTAAACCTTTTGGCTCTGAATTTCTCACCTCCCATCGGGTGGATTGGCCCAAAAAAGCCCAAACTCTTTGTTTGCCACACAAATCTTGGGTGCTGTAGATCCCCCAGCAAAAAGTGTTTCGCTTTTTGCTGGTTAAAAGGAAATACGAAGGGAGGTCCAAACTTTGTGGCAAGCGCCACAAAAATGGGTCCAAACCCAAAAAGCATCGAAAAGCATAACGTCAATGAACTCAGGAAGTGAGATCAACTCAAGACCAGAAGCAAGGGGACACCATCGCAGAGAACTACCACTTGAAGCTGAAAAGCGGCTTGCCTGCGAGACGACTCGACACAGCATAGATCCCTGATACATGGGCTTGTCAGTGTGTCTAAGGCCCAATACTCAGTTGCCCAAAGGACCTACCTTTTGGGAACCTTGACGAAGCATGGATCAAAACAGGAAAACCAGAAGGTCATGTCAGGTCGATTCGCCCTGGGCAACTGAAAAAATGGTCCAAGCTTTGCCAGAAACGACCAGTACTTTCGGGGGCATCACCCTTGGCCAAGACGGCTCTCAACTCCCAGGGAGTGAAGGCCAATTGACAAAACATGGCCTTCACAAGGTCTTACTGCAAGTAAGAGCTCATCCATGCATATCCTAGGCTTAGCCTGAGATAAACACTCACACCCCCTTTTCAAGGGTACATAAAACCTGGCTTGTGGTTTCTCGAGAACAATCTTGCTCCCAAAAAGGCCTTCCAGTGTGGGCTCCACTACATCGTCGGGAGGGTATCCTGTTGGAGGTCTCGGTGAAACAAGAGGAAGCCACATAGAAAGGTTCCTCATTTTGACACTCAGTCAAAGTTTCGGTCATTTTGGGCTTTCCGTGAGACACAGGCGGTTCCAACTCTGAAACGAAAACATAGCCAACTGGATGTACCCTAAAATGGGAATTGGACGCCACAAATGGTGCTGCTTTCTTTGGTGTCCCTTTAAAACCACCTACAAACATGTACCTAACTCTACACCCAACCATCGCATTTCCCCCAAACAAATGCTCCCAACACCTGGCTGGCTGTGCTCTTGGTGTCCGTTCTCCGCATCCCGGGCCCCGGGCCGCGTGGGGCGTGCGCTGCAGGGCGCGACACTGGAACCCGTGACGCAAGGCCTCCGGGCGCGTGGCGCTTGTTTTTTGGGCGTCGAATGAGGCCGGCTTTGGGCAGGGAGGATGGTGCACCTCCATTTGGCTGTGGGTCAAAACCGATGGGATACCATTTTGGTTGGCAGGTGCACCACCCATTTTAGAACCTATTTTAGTGGGGATTGGGATGTTCACTGAAATTACGATTTGGATTTTGACCCATGGCCATTTGCATGAAGTCGGTTAAAAAGAATACAACTATTTCCCGTGCTAGATTCCCTTTCAAACCAACAGGGGATTTTTACCATAAATATTCATGGAGGACATGGATGTTTCAATTCCGATGGAGTGGAGCCAAAACAAGTCACCGCACTTAGTCATCAAAATGGTCCAAGTCTCAAGTCCTGGAACTCAGGGAGTGAGGTGTCTTGATGGTACCACATTCTGGGGGTCCAATTCCAATAGGACACACGGCCCATAGGAATCGGCCCATTCCTAAGATGGCAACTTGCTCGTTGTGAAAAACTCTCAAATGGACTTGAATCTAAAGGCAAAGATGTAAGATGCTACCAACCATTGACCCAGGCAAGGGTTGGGGTTCCTTTATTTGGTTTCCCTTCAAACAACCACCACAAGAGTGCCCCCAAAAAAAAACATGGTGAATCAGTGAATCGGTCCAATTTATAGAGTGGCAGGGTTTCCTTTGGGCTGCCCTTTTGAAAAACATTCTGACCGGTTGTCCCGCCGCCCCCAAAAGGCATGTATCTGTATTTGGGTATGGCAAGTACGAGGACTCCAACAAATGGTTTTTCGGTTGCGGTTTCCTCAAAAGAAAACCGAAACCCTGGTTGTCTTAAGAGAAGCTCCGCGAGGTCGGGGTTTTCCGTGTGTTTCCCTCGAGATGTTGTCTTTTTATTAGGTTTGTCCTTGGGTTTCCCCGAGCAAGCAAACACAGCTTGCCCAAAGAAACGCACTAAAAGCCCCCCCCCAAAAAAAAACAACAAAAATCTAAAAAAAATAAACAAAAGCTCCGGTGGATAGGGCCGGGTGTATCTAGACCTCGAGTGACCATGAAAAGAAAAAAGCCCCTGAATCCCTTGCTTTGGTATGGTGTTGAAGGGAAACCCCGCAAAAAAAGCCAGGGACAAACCGATCTGATCTGCAAAAAGTGATAGCTGCTTGCTGGAAAATGAAGCAACCCAAAAAGTGAAAGAGTTGAAGGGCTATGTTAAGGGACCACCCTCCCCCTCAAAAAAAAAACAAAAAACAGGATGGTAGAAACCCATGTCAGTCCCTTAATTTTCCGCAAAGGCCAAACAGCAAGCACCCGTCTTCAGCATTCAACGGTGTTCTTTCCGGGTTGGAGAGCTAGGTTCATTTCATCGGGGTTACCCCTATTTCAGGTGCATTGTCATAAGTTGTCCATCCTTTCCCAAAGGTCCATCTCGGAAACTTGCTTGAACCACCGAGAATGGGTGAAAGGTTTCAGAAGGGTGCCCATCTCTTCCCGAGGGCATGGGGCACATGGTGTTTTTTCTCGGTGTTGTGTGTGTGTGTGTGCGGGCAATAGCATGACATGAGCTGAGCCACTAACTTGTTGCGCAGAAAAGCGCGCCTTAGTTTTGATGGAGGTTATTGTAGTTCCCACCCCAGTCGGTTGAAGGGCATCATGTCCCTGCCCAAACAAGCTGAACGGCAGAAAGTCACTCACCGAGAACAGTGAGCAGTTCGGACTTGGGCTGAGTTTCTCTTTTGAAGCCACTAAAAGTATACCACGGAAAAACATGACGATCCCACTGCAACAGACAATATGTCGGGGTTGATCGATATTATGTTCAGGGGTACTCCAAAACAAAAAACAAAGCTCCAAGGGGCCACCTGAGTACAGGTCAGCTCTTTAGGGTGACCTTTGAAACAAAAATTCTCGTGCCCCTGGGAATTCAAATGGGCAGAAAACCGAGCTAAACCAATGGGAACCCAAATAGATGTCTAGCCGAACCAAGCTCAGGGCACCTATGTGATTAGACTTAGGCGCAGTTCTAGAATCTGGGCTGCCCGCAGATCCCCCGGTAAAAGTGACTCACTTTTAGTGGGTTAAATGGACACTACCACTAAACACTAAAAGGCTAAAAGGCTAAGGAACCGCATGGCTGGGAGCCAAGGAATGTATCCTAAGTCTACCCCAGATGTATACGGGCGATCCGTCAGCCCGAAAGTTGAGCCAAAGCGTCCTGCTGCAGACGCTGAAGGATCTGGTGCCCAGGATGCTGCGGATCCTTCGAAATCCGAGCCGAAATCCGCGACACCCGGTGATTGGGGAGTGCATGTTGATCCTGGGTAAAAGAGTCAACCGGGGGTTGTCCAAAAGTGAAGTAACTATCAGGTTCTTGATTGGAAGATCCTGGCTTAGGGAAATGGGTCCTGGATGTTGTCCTGGATGTTGTCCACATGAATCATGTGCCTGGCTATCCCTGACCCCTGATGTCTTGGAGGAAACTCCTGTGCTGCTGCAAGATGCGGAAAGCCTCGTTCAAACTTTCCCGAATGAAGGGCCAACGTTCATACCCGAAATGGATTTTACCCCAAACATGGTCATACACCGGCTATACAGGGTAACCCCAACAACCATCCCCAAAGAAGGCCGAAAGGATGTGTCCAGTTGGGGTAAGTTGGCCCTTTGACGGTGAATGCAGTGTCTGCTCCCATCTGGTCGCCCTGCATCTAATTTCGCCCCCTCTTTTTTTTTTTTTCGAGGGGAATCTTGAGAATATGGAACTCAGATGTGAAGCAGTTGCTTGGCATCCCACCCAACTGTGCCTTCCGTATTCAGGGAACCTTGAACCGTCCAAAGGAGAGCCGAATGTGGGGGGTCGCTTTTTGAGGGTCCACTGTTGGGGGCCCTTTTTTCGACTGTGGCTCTTGCGAGTAGGCGGAGCCTATTGGCTATGGTCAAAGTGTGGGCGAAACGGACAGGGGGGGGTTCAATAAGAACCAATTAAGAAAAAACGGGGTAAAGTAGATGGCTTAAAGTCGACGACACAAAACCCCAAGGAAACAAACTGTGTTCCGGGTACCCCTATTTGGAGACACCCCAAAAATACGCCAGACATCCTCTGACCACAGAACTCCAGGGTTCCGGGCCGACGCCATGTCCTAAGGCCAGGAAGCTTTGAGAATTTCAGGCAATTCCACTGGCGGTGTTTCGCAAAAATAGGAGATCTTTACCCCCCTTCCAGTAGCGATAGATTCCCTTTACAACCTGACTTGCTTTTCGCAGCCCACGAAACATGAACCAACGACTGCAAAACATGCCAAGAAAAGTGAAGGTGTGGGTCAAGAAAGCCATGGATTTACTGCAGCGGTCTTGCAGTGTTGGGATCCCGCCCAAAACAAGGACGAAACCCAGCACTCCTCATCAGAGCAATAGGAAAAGTTTTCCCTTTGACAAACATTCACTAAGCATGGATCAGAACTGCCGGGGGACCAAACGTCAAAAGGTCGGCTGAAGTAAGACGAAGCCAAGCAAACTCAGTGTGCGCTTGGTTTTCGAGAAAAAACATTGGTTGATCTGACTCGCGTAGTCCCATCGCTCAGACTGCGCTTGGTCATGCAACGATGTAATGTATGCTTGGCGACACGAGCTGCCGGACACTTTTCTTTCTTTCGGTTGCCCAAAGGACCCAGAAGCAAACGGTTAACCTTTTGGGGCCATGACTAAAAAAGGAGGGAATCCAAAAGGTCAAAACGTAAATTGTCTTTGGGCAAGTGAGTTCTGCGTGCCTCCGTGCTCATAGCAAGAGATCGACCAACAAGGAACATGCTGGGTGGTCCTCGCATGTTCGAAATCGGCCTACCGACACTGGTCTTCGCAAAGAATTGATCATTGCAGCAGCGCCCTTTCTTTCTTTTGTTATTAGAGGTAGGTTCTTTTAGAAACAAAAACTCGCAAAAAAAAAAACTGTCCCTTTTTTGGGGGGGTGGTTTCCTTTTAATATCAACTACCAAAGACATGAGTGCCCTTGTTCGGCAATCCGCTGGGACCCGGGGGTCGCAAAATGTCCGGGCTGGTCCACGATTTGTGGGGGTCCCCAAAGAAAAGACAGGCACACACCGAAATGAATTCTCGTTGAATTTGGGAGAGGACTATTTTTCGGAGCAGTATCGAAAGGGGGGATTGACGGCTCGGATTGTTTGCATCTCATTCTGGAGGGGATTTGGACACCCCCCTCTTTCTACGAGCCACTGCTTCCACCGTGTCGCCATCGTCTGACTTCTGCTCGGCAAAAAGACCTGGCGTCCCGGCCCTTCACAGGGCCGGTCGAAGGCAACTGGCACCGCTTTGGAAGCGTCACCACAGTAGCTAAATCAACAGTCAAAGGTCGATCGTTGAGGTAGAACCCAATAGGAAGGATGTAGGGCAATCTCCCTTTCAGGGCTCATGAACATGGACATCCTTTCTCGTTTTCGCAACGAAGCCCAATGGACTCCCTTGAAATTAGCTTGGTTGCAATCCTTGAGCTTCACATTTGCTCCTCAGGGACACCTATGGACATTGCACCAACAGTTGACCCAGTGCTTCCAGTTACAACTATAGCTTGGCTTTTCAGGGGGCAAGCATCCATGGTGAAACCTAAAGCTCCGAAACCAACATGCAAAAAGCGGAGCTGGCGATATCGCAGCAAACAAGCAGCAAACAATCGGCCTATGCCTACCACATGGCAAACTCCGTAGCTGGCTGCTAAAAGTGCCGCCGAACACGATCTCGCTTCTCCGGGAGGCAACAGCACCTTGTAGCCGCATCTACCGCGCTCTCTTATTTCTCTCTGACCACCCCTTGTCTTCACGCGTTGGCCCAGGTGACACTTTCTTGTAGCTGCACGCTGTCCCTGAGCCTGCCCTTTACTGCTGCTGCTGCTGCCACGTTCTTGGAATTGGACTGCAGCTGCCTTTGGGATTTTCTGCGTTTGCTTCGCATAGCTACGCAACTACTCTACCCTATGAAAGCAGACCTCCATTCATGTCCAGCGGCCATGCATGCAGGCCTCGTGGGAAAGCCGCCACACCCCGCGTAGGAAGGCTACATCTGCTACGTTAGCTGCCCCAGTCGAAAGAGCCCTGCCGCTACAGCGTTTGTTGCATAAGGCTTCGTACCCGGGGCAGGTCTTTGAAAGCAATTTCTCCAGCAGCAGCAGTCTCTAGCAAAAGGATTCAGAGGCAAAGAATCGAACATCTGCCTTGCCAGCTTTCGGATTCACGATCACAAGGTCTTTGCCACGCAGTGACGCAAAATAGCCGCATTAAAATGATCTGGCTCCGCTTCTTCTCGATGAGCCGTAAATCGGAATGGCAAAGCACGGCAAGCGCATGGCAAAGCGTAGCCCCTTCACAGCTGAAGCTGCGCATCGTGTGCGTCACGGCATGCACTGTCGTAGCTCCAGTGAGCGTGTGTGTCTAGCACTGCCGCAATTCGCATGCTTCCGCAAGGGGGGACATGGCCGCGGTCCTGGTCCCACCCCAGCAAAACTATTGCAAAGCCGGCTTGCCCCGACATAGCCAATGCGAAAGAACAAAATAGCCCAGCGTCCGCCTTGCAACACACTTGCCTACAACATGCACAAACGTGCGCAAACACACCGCTAGTCAGACATTGCGCGCAGAAGCACGGGCAAGCACACGGACCGAGCACAAAAACGCACACACGTGCGCGCGCACCAACGTGCGACACACGCACGCCTGCACAAGCCTGTTTGCTTGAACGCGAACGAGCCTGCGTGCTGCGATGCACTGGCGCGCGCACGCCCGACAAGCGCGCAACACTGCCTGCGTATACTGCCCACGTAGACCTGCGCGTTCCATGGCACGAACAGTTCGAGCTACCAAAGACAAGAACCTAGCACGCCAACCCAAAAGCACGCCCGCTCGACCGCGCCCACTGCACGGCGGCTGCACGCGTGCCTTTCGACGCTCAGCTTGCACGCTCATAGCTACTCGCAGAAAATCGGCCTGAGTCGACTACTCCAGGCAAACAACGTGTTGGCCCGTCTCGACATAGGGGGCCCAAAAGATAAGCGGTTTTCCTTTTGCCTCCCATGGTTTGTAGTGCGCAAATCTATTGGAGAATGTCCGGCTTGATCTCGCCCAAGAAAGCGGCAACAATTTGCACATATATCGGATCGCTTGCATGCGTCCTCCGCCACAAGCTTCTTCAAGAGAGCACTTGCTGCGCTGGTATGGGTCATCCTGATGTGAAGACGCTGCTTCAAGTAGGTCTCAAGGCCCGTAGCGGCCACAATATACCCGTTCGGAAACAAGGCCAAAAACAGGGCGCACCCACCCGCCCAGCAATCAGCCTTCACTGTGATTGTCACCATCATGGGCTTGCACTCTGGCGGCCTATGGTCAGGTACATCTGGCGCCCGACGCGGCACGCACTCACACACGCGCTTAGGTGGGTGGGTGGTTGGTTCGTGGGGTGGGGATTCGGATGGGAGGGGAGGCAGGCGGGGGTTGGTGGGAGTGGGAGACGTTGGACAACCCCTGCAGCCAACCAGCGCAGCTGGTGATGGCGAAGCCCTAGGATGAACTCAGATCAAATTAACAAATAAACCAACCAACCAGCGAACCAACCAACCAACCAACCAACCAACCAGCCAGCCAGCCAGCCAGCCCAGCCCAGCCCAGCCCAGCCCAGCCCAGCCCAGCCCAGCCAGCCAGTCAGCCAGCCACTGGCTGAGGTGGCATAGCCCCAGCATTAGCCTGGCACAACCTGGTGCGCACGAAAGATAACACTAACAGGCAAAGGTTTGGGGTGGCTTTAGGGTAGTCTGTTTAGGGTAGGTTCAGGGCATCGTTTTAACATCCTCAGCATCGTTCAACATCCTCAGCATCACCAGGCTTTGGTTTAGGTTGGGTTTGGGGTGGGTTCAAGGTTGGCTCAGGCTTGGCTCCGGGTGAGTTCCAGGCCTATTGAGAGCAAATTTGGGGTGGATGGTTTAGTGCTAGTTTATTGTGGGGGTTGGTCTCGGGTGGCTTTAGGGCTGGCTTAACCAAAGCCTGGTGATGCTGAGGATGTTGAAAACGATGCTGTGGATGTTAAAACGATGCCGGGCCTTAACCTTCCCTAAACGACCTACCCCAAACCTACCCTAAACCTACCCTGAACCCATCCCAAACCTTCGTCCTACCGAGGCGCCAACCAAACAACCAGCCAACCAACCAACAAACCAAACCAAACCAAACCAAGCCAAACCAAACCAAACCAACCAACCAACCCAAACAAACAAACAAAACAAACAACCAACCAACCAGCCAAGCCAAGCCAAGCCAAGCCAAGCCAAGCCAAACCAAACCAAACCAACCAACCAACCAACCAAGCAACCAACCCAAACAACCAACCAACCAAACAACCAACCAACCAACCAACCAAGCAACCAACCCAAACAACCAACCAACCAAACAACCCACCAACCGACCAACCGACCAACCGACCAACCGACCAACCAACCCACCAACCCACCAACCGACCAACCGACCAACCAACCCACCAACCCACCCACCCACCCACCAACCCACCCACCCACCCACCCACCCACCCACCCACCCACCAACCCACCAACCCACCAACCCACCAACCCACCAACCCACCAACCCACCAACCCACCAACCCACCAACCCACCCACCCACCCACCCACCCAACCAACCAACCAACCGTCCAACCGTCCAACCAACCAAACCAAACCAAACCAAACCAAACCAAACCAAACCAAACCAAACAACCAACCAACCAACCAACCAACCAACCAACCAATCGCCTGCCAGGGTTAGCCCTGTGCCAGGGCTAGGCCAAAACAAAACACCCTTTCCGCCAGCCACCCAGCCAACAAAAACAGCCAGCCAGCCAGCCAGCCAGCCAGCCAAGCAAGCAAACAACCAACCAAACAGACAACCAACTCAGTGAGCCAAATGAGCCAAATTCATCAGCCAACCAACAGCCAACAAACTTTAGAGCCAACAAATGACTTGAACCGCTCTCGGATGCTGTAGATCCGCCAGCAAAAAGTTAAGCTTGTTGCTGGTCAAAAGGAAATATGAGGGGAATCCAAAAAGTTACAGTCTAAAGATCCAACCCAATAGCAGTAGAGTGCAGGCCTTCGATGATGTGAATGGGCAAGTTCCAGCGGTGCCCGGACAGGTCGATGGGGTCCCGGAACCCGATGGGAAAGTTGAGCTCCTCTCGCCGAAAACGTGCGCGAAGCCGATGGGCGGGCTGAGGGATCTAGGTTGGTTAGTTTGGTTGTTTTGATGGTACCCTTTTTGGGGAACCATTTTTTGGGGGTGCCAAAAAAAAAGAACACATTTGGATGACCTGTTGAATGGGTTCCAACATATGGGCTCCTTTTGGCAGCTACTAATATTGGTGCAAGCGGAACAGAACTCGTATGATAGAAACCCTTTAAAAGGTTCCATGGGAAACCCCTCCAAAGGGCAGTTGTCTCTTGGTGTTCCTTTAAGACGACCCGAAAAAGGGTGGCCCCAGAAAGCGCAAGAACCCCTCAACCACTGCTTTTTTGACAATACTTGGGACTTGGACATGGCAAAAAGCAGTTGTCGGGGGTGCTGGCATGTTTGCTTTGAACATTTCTTGACCTACCGCAAGCACCCCCAACTTGCAGGTCAAAGACCAAAGGTTCAGTTGGCCCATTCTCCCCCCCCCCCCTCCGCGAGGTCAAAGTGGGATTTCGATCCCCATGTCCCTGGCATTGAAGAAGTGGCCCAAAAAGAACAAAATACTTCAAGCATGCTTGGACATTGCTCAACCCAGCGCAAATCTGAGCATGTTCTTCCCCTTCAAAACGATCTTCCGCCCAAAACACACGCAGGTCAGAAACTGGGCCAAAGTTTGCGATCTTGCTTGTTGCCTTTTTCGTCCGAAAGTATAGCTGGCTTTGTCTTAGAATTGCGAGACACAAGAACCAAAGCCGGCCAAGTGGCGCTCTTGAGCGGGTGCAGTAACACATCTACCTCATCCATGATGACCTGAGCGCCGTCAGCGCATGGGTGCTGAATCATGCCTATGAATTTCACCCATCTTTCCTTTGGGTGACGCGTTGAACGAGATAATGAATCTTCATCCACTCCTTTGACCACTTGTTCGCCAAATGCGTCCCGAAAATCAATCGGATGCGGCCAACAAAAACAGCATAATTTTTGGTGCAAACGAAGCGCCCCTAACATGAAGCTGTTGCTACTCAAGCATGACATGTTTACATTCTGGTCCGGTTTATGCCATCTGAGAGATCCCAAAGGAAACCGAATCCCAGCGTCCGGACTCTGAGTCTCTGCACCCAAAAGAAGTTCAGGAACCGTATAAGGCTGCGGTGCCTTGTCAAAATGTCTTGGCTTGTTCTATGATCATTTGGGGTGTGGCTTTTCTTTGCTGAGTTGGCAAGCCCAATTGAATATCTAAAGGCAAAGCACAAGCATCTGCACCGAAATTGAAGCGCAAATCAGGGGAAAACTCCAAAATCGGGCTTTCGGCTTGGTGTCGCGTTAAAGCAACCCCGATAAGGGTACTCTCGAAGAACGCACCTAGGTCATCCAGTAGAGAGGTTAGAATAAGGGTACCCTTTTTTCTGTAGTCTATTTTAGTAGGGAAACCCTCCCCAAAAAAGGGTAAAAGGGCACTACTGGGGGACCTAGGCACAACATCCCAATGTTGAGACAAACCTGCTTCACTGATGGTCTGCAGCTCGGTCTCGGCTGGGGCCCCCCACAATGCCGGTCCTGGCAAGCACATCCAACCAGCCCGCCGGAGCACAGCGGGTCTCCGCCCAAAAAGCTCCCAGTGTGAGTGGTGTGAAACAGCTTCAAGGAGAGCTCGAGACAATTGTCAGAAGCACAAGCATCGTCCTAATACCGGTGCTGGTCAGGGTGCTGTTTGGTGTGCTCAGGCTGGCTGCTGGCGGTGCTGGCGATCCTGGTCAGGGTGCCGTGTGGGGTACCGGTCACGAGGCTATGTGTTAGGTGCGGGACGCTTGCCTGCGCATATGTGCAGCGCGTCATTGTTCGTGGCTGTGACATCGTTCTGATGCTGTCAAAATCCTCATAATCCTCATGATTCTATTTAAATATTGTTCAATCGCTGTTTGTGCTTACATGTAGCTCACAATGGTTCGTGGCCCTTGTATCACCATGATGCTAAAGTCATCATGATGCTGCTGAGTTCATTAGGGACTCCTTGTGCTTATATTATATATATATATACATGCCATGGGTCAAAACCCCGTACCCCCTAGTGAACATCACAATCCCCACCAAAACAGACTAAAGTGAGTGGTGCACCCACCCGAAAATGGGACCATTGGTTTTGACCCACAACCATATACATAGAGCGCATCATCTCGCTCCCTGAGTTCCTAGACTTTACACCAGGGCTGTGGGGAATGACCACTTCTGTGATACAACGGAAAGGGCTTCCCAACGACTATTTTGTTCATATAAAGGGGGATTCCCACAAGTATCACAGAGAAACCCCGAGCGATCCCACAACCCTGCTTTACACTTTTTGGGAAGACCATAGTGGCAGCCAAAGAGTTTGGACATGGCCAATCCACTGGCTGTTTGACCGAACCCACACCACCAGCCAAACAAGCACTGTCAGCAAGCGCCACCGAACTTGTAGTAGCACCCTGACTGCACCGCCAGCCCTTGAGCACACCAAACGGAACCCTGACCAGCACTCACAGCACCTCGCCAAGCACCCACAACAGCATCCAAGCTGCGTCGCAAAACACGCACTGCCAACTACCGCCACAGCTTAAGCACGCAAACAACAGCACCCTGAGCCGCACCCTGACCAGCACTTTGAGCCGCACCCTGACCAGCACCTGCAGCACCCACCTGGCCGAATTGCACGAAACAAACCCCACCTCTTTAGATCAGAACCCCTATATGGCTAAAGCCATCTGAGGGCAAATGCAAGATTGTGGGTGTCTCCGGGAAGGTGGACCCCACTCTTGCTCGGCTTGGGGAAACCCTGGAATGATTCGATTCCCCAACGTAAATGCCAACCAACGTTATGGTTTCAGCCATGATTTCATTTCGTGGTGCGAACAGATTCCGCAACCATCCACGGTAGTAATCGGCCCACTCATGCTTGGCCTCCTTTTGGCTCCCTTACATACCAACCAACATGGTCTGCGTTTTTTGAGAAACAGCTCAATGGGTCCCCAACATGGAATTGGTAAAAGGAAACAAGGACTAAGACCTGCAGTCCCTTGGTGGTTGAATTTTGGACCATCCAACCAGCATGTTCTGCTATTTTGAGAAACACCTCAATGGGGGCCACCTAAGAAACCCTGGTGTAAATACCAAGAAATGGTTTCCCATGACTTCTTAAGTGGCTGTGGGTCAAGAATAGGTACCCCAAACGGCCCCTAAGTGGGACATGGACCAAAACTTGCGGTCTGGTAGTGTAATTTTGACCCGTACCCAAGTGGTGTGGCAGGGCCACCTAAGAAACCCTGGAATTTCCCCTGTAAATACCAACGCATGGTTTCCCATGACTTCCCAAAGTGGTGTGGCCACCCTCAGGCCAGGTCAGCTCAGCCGCATTTGAAGTGAGCCATGGCCTCCAGAGCTTCAGCAGCTGCACCGCGGCGTCCGCCATGCCGGACCGCCGCTCCAGGACCTCCCGCTGCCGCACCATGTCCCGGTTGGAGCGGTTGGCCGCCCCTCGAACGCGGCGTCGAAGGCGCGGCGTCGAAGGCGCGGCGTCGAAGGCGCGGCTTTTGGCGGTCGAATCCTCGCGAAAAAGACGGGGGGTGGGAGGGGGTATGGTGGAGACTGGGGGTCAAAATCGGAAACTTCCTTCTTTGAGGGTATGTTTTTTTCTTGGGGTTCTTGGTTGCAACATCGACTCTAGATGGAGCTCCCACTTCCCTTTGAAGGCCACGGGGATCACTAGATTTCCCAGAAACTGGTTGCAATGGACAGGTTGCAAAACAACGGGAACACATCGCCGCTTTTGGAGTATCAGAAAGGGACATGCAGGGAGAGTAGGGGAGTCTGGACACTGAGCGGGTCTATTTGTCTAACCTCCTTTGGGGGTATTGGCGCGTCCACCTGGCCGGTCCAAACCTCGGGGGGGAGGAATTCGGCACCACCCACCGCTGCTTTTCGGACCGTTGGGATTGTTTGTTTGCATGGCCGGGGACTGCTTCCCAGCGGTTGCCACTGACAAAAACCCTCCCCCCACGACCATGTCCCTATGAAATTCGGGAGCTGGCTTTCCGGGGTCCTGGCTTGGGCCAGAATTCGTGGGAGGGCAGCTCTCGGAGTAGTCTTGGTGCTCAAGTTGCGGAAAGCTTGGGGCTGTGGAATGCTGTGAATACGGACAGAAACAAAGTGGAGAATCTGGAAACCAGGGGCCAGCAAACTGGTGACTCTCAGAGCAGCAACCTTTGTGCTCAATGTTTATCAGCTTTCTAGGGGATACGGTCAGAAAGTGAAACAATCGGAAAAAAACCTATCGCGGGGGGGATGACGCGATGGGGGCGGAGGGCGATGTCACGCCGAAGTGCCTGGCGCGAGTTGAGAGAAGTCGTAGCTGCTGAGCGCGTGGAGCTGCTCGATGAGCTTCAGCATCATGGACCTCGGGAGAAGAGGAATTCAGCCGGCGCCCGGGGCCCAGCGGCGTTTTGGGTGCCAGGAAGGGGGGGGAATTGTGGTTGCATGGTGGAAAAAGCAGTTGTTGGGGGTGTGGGGCGGGGGGGGGGAGATTTTGGTTGCATGGAGTGGTGGTGCGGATTGGTGGTTTGGGGATTTCAACCCTTTGGGTTCTTGTAGAAGGCAAATGGGAAACTATCCTTTATGTCAGCTTTCCCTCAACTGTTGCTACTCCCCGAACCACCAATCCAACCACCAATTGAGGGTTGCCTGAGTATAGGCGATGACTAAAGCAACATGGGGGACGTGGGGAAGTGTCAATTGTTGCAAACCTTCGTATGTAAATTGTACAACAAACAAACACGTTTACATGTGTATTAAGTGACATACATATATACATATTTATATATATATGTATATACATATATATTTATGTATACATACATATATATACACATATATTTTCGTATCAGGTTTCCGAACACATGATGTTCATGGTGCCATCTCCGCTATCAAATGTCCTCCCCCACGCCATCCGAAACGAAGGGGACTCGCCAAGGGGCTAGTTGTCTGATGAATAACTGTTTATTCAAATATGTGCATATGTGTATATATATATATATATGTGTTACATATATATATATATGTATATACATATGTATATATATAGAAATGAAACAAATCAGGCGTTTGGATGTGGAGAACCTCCAGCCCGGGGCGCTTGATGGCCTCCGGAGAACTGCACACAATGCCCCCAGCGCGGCGGCAGGCCTTCCGGGGCCATAGCCATGTGTTTCTTAGATGATTTTCTAATAATAATAATAAAAAACAGAGACAAAACACCGCACTCTGACCCAATCTGTCTGCTGTTTCCACCAAGTGGTTGATACTGTGGATGGTTACCATATGTGGGAACACCCGTATTTTAGACGCCTGTATTTTCCTCTTGGAGGGGTAGTCTAAAACAAAAGGAAACCAAGGAACTTAGAAAGTGTCCATACTGTGGATGGACGAAATCCAGAAATCGCACCAAGTTGAAACCACTGCAAACCCACCACGAAATCCGTTTCGCACCGCCTCAGAAACCATAATTAAAACCATGAGTTGTTGGTATTTACGTTGGGGAAGCGAATCAGAACCCAGGGTTTCTGAACGGTGGTGCGAGATGGATTTCGTCCATCCACAGTACAACCGCTGGACATGGTTGAAACAGCAGACAAGTTGAGTTAGGTGCTGCTTTGTGTCGCCTGTTTTTTGTTTAAGAAAGAACCTAAGAAAAACATGGAGCACCACAGGAGGTCTGGGTTTTAACCCCAAGATTGGGAATCCTTTTGAGGCAGCAAAGGTCAAACAGTCCCTTGATTTTGAACTATGTGATACCCCTAATAAAGCGCGGGGGGGGGTCTCGGTGAGAAATCAGGCTTGAGACTGAGCACATCCATACATTGAGCGGCTCGGGGCGCAAACATCGCCAAGTTTCGAGGGTTCTCTTCACTGTTCTGAGATTTCGGGCGCCCGACTTTGGGGGGGCAACAAAGGGGTCTTATAAGTTCTGTACCTTTACCACCCCTTAATATGGCAGCAAGCCACAATCAACAGAACCAAACAAGCAGACAACCTAAACGCTTGCCAACAACAGTGCAGGTATATATTCAATAACTTTTTGTGGCTTCCTTTAAAGAAAAACATATTTTGGGCTACCAGCGCAAACAAAGATTCCCCAAAAAATCCGCCCAAATGGAAGCGCTGGGCCTGGAAAGGGATCCATTGGAAGCAGGAGTTGGCTTGGGCAATGCTTGGAACATCAAAAGCACTTGGCCAGCCAGCGGCTTGTGACCGTTCCAATTGCTGTTGACACCATAGGTACGGTCACTACCAGGGAAACCCCATTAAAACCCAAAAACCACATTGGAACCAAACGGCTGGGAACCATCAAGAAATGAATCAACAGCTTTGAGACCATAGGTGTCCTTTTTGGTTGAAAATAGCATGTTGATTGAACCACCAGCTACACCAGGAATCGCCCGCTATGTTTCAACCAAATCAACCAAAAAGGACACCTCTGCAAAGGAACTGAAAAACAAATTCACCTCTTGGGCCATGACGAGAAAAAGGATCAAAAAAGGGGCCAAAATAGGACCAAAAAAGGACCCAAAAAAAGGACCAACAAATGGTTGGGACGCTTTGCTTTCAAACAGCGTGAGGGCTGTTTGAAGCCACACTGGAAAGGTCTGGACCCAGTTTTGTTGGGAGGACCCATCCTTCCCTTGGGCTGGAAAGCTGCAAACAGGGTACCAACTTTTTTCTGTAGTCTATTCTAGTAGGGGAACCCTCCCAACCAAGAAGAAACGGTAAAAGGGCACCTAGCTGGGGGACCTAGTGGTCTTGTTTAACCGCAAACAGCTTGCCAAAGCGCGGGCGATGGAATTGGTGCAGTATGTGTGGGTGTGGTCTTGGAGGGTACTGGTTAGATGCTTGAACCACCAGGTAAACCAGGGCCTTCCATTGTTTAAGCAACCAACCAGATGGACACCTATGCTTTCTCAGATTGGTAAGGGAAACCACGAGTTTTGATAGGAAAGTGATGAACATATTCTCAAGGAGTATGAAATGCTGATATTCTTACCAGCACCCGGGTCCCAACCAATGCTTTTTGGACAATATACTTGTGATTTTGGAAAGAAGAAAGAAGAACAACATGTTGGGACATGGGTGCTGGTAGTGGTTAACCAGCATTTTGGGGTCCTGTTGTTTTTCTTTTTGGTTAATTTGTTTTTTTCACCCTGTGCCTCCAACTTTGTATACAGCTTCATGACGGTCTCGGGGCAGTCTTCCACTTGCCGGTCGAACTGGAAGGTCACGATGCCTCAGGGTTGCCAGTTGGTCTTTTCTTGGATGTTGCGCGGTGTTTTTTCTCATTTGGCAAAGCTGGGGTTCAACTCAGATGTCCAACTCCAAACCAGTCCAAACCACCAACTCACTTAAAAAGGACTTCAAATCCAATCCAAACCAACGACGGGTATCCTTTGCTTGGAGTTTCTCACAAAGAGCCCTTTTGGCGTTGGGCAAAGGGAGCCCACTTTTCTGAGCTCCCCAATTCCTTCGTTGACACCCCAATCTTCCCCTTTGGCCGAAAAATGCAGATTTGTTTTTGGACCCGGGTGCTGGTAGTGGTTGACCACCAGAATGGGGTCCGGACCGACATCTTCGCTTTTGATCAACCTTTTTGAGTGAAGTCTTCCTCAGGGCAGGGCCAGCCTCGGAAAATTTCGGGGCCAGCAGACCAAAGAGTTGAGGTGTTCCTGGAACCTAAAAGAACCATTTGCACATGGTATCCCAAGCAGGCATTTCCTGTGTTTGGACCTTGATGGAAAATGGCAGAGACTGCGAAACCACCATTTGTGGTTACGTTTCAGCTTCCAGGCAGGACTTTCAACTTTTGGCCATAATTGGTGGCAAACACCTCCAGATTTCTGGGCTTTCACCGGGCCGATCCGGCGGAGACCGACGTCAAAAGTCTGGGGCCCCGGGCGCTTGGGCAACAGACGGGCGAAGCAGGCGCGCAAGATCTGCCGCGTCTGGTCCAGCAGCGGGCCTCAAACTCCGAAACTCGATACCGACCGCTGCGAGAGGTGGGGGGTTCGAGTCCGGGTGTTGGGAACGAACCCAGGAAATGGTCCTCTTTAAAGGAAACCACCAGTGGGTCGTTACATGTCTCATTCCCTGCTGATAAAACTCTGCGACCGTGGTTCTTTGTTCGGAAAGCAGTAGGGGCGGGTTCCACCCCGTTCAGCCGGGGCGAATCAGCCCATCTTTTTTGGGGGTGGCCCACCAAACACCTCATAGCTAAACTAGGTCCTCTAGTAGAGAGGTTTGAATAAGGGTACCCGGTACCCTTTTTTCTGTTGTCTATTTTAGTAGGGGAACCCTTCCCCAAAAAAGAACCAGTAAAAGGGCACCTAGCTGGGGGACCTAGTAAAACCTCCGCCATGCCAAGAAGCTGGGCATCACCTGGGTGACCAAGACTTCCGGGCTGGCCAGCATCAGCGAGAGCAAAGGGCCCACGACCTGGGCGTTCTCAACCGGGCAGCCAACCTTCATTTGCGTTCTCTTTTCTGAGGTGAAACGAAGGCCAAAAGCAAAATGTCGCACGCTTTGCTGGATGAGTGCCCCAAGCTTGATACATTTCTTTGGCCTAGGAGGGTTCTGAGAACCTTGTGCGTGGCCAGGGAGTCCAAAAGTCTCTCCTGGCAGGTCTCCTGGGGGCAGGGGCTTCCTTTGGCAACAAATACGTGTCAAAGTATGGGTTGGACCCTCAGAATGACTGGCTCGCCATTGGGTGTCCCTTTGCGCGAACCGTGGCCCTTGACGGGGGATTGCGCGCGACTGTTGATTCTCGAAAATTGCTCCCAAACCCCAAAAGCTGTGTAGGGTGGGTTGGGTGGGTTGGGTGGGTTGGGTGGGTTGGGTGGTTTGAGTGGTTTGAGTGGCTTGAGTGGCTTGGGTGGGGGTTAAAACATCGGCGCCACACCAGCCCCAACCCAACCCAGCCGCTCTCACGTCCAGGCCCGAGGCGCCGTGGTTTTGCCCGCGCCCATGATCATCTGCTGCACCCGGCTCTCGCCCTCCCGGTGGCTCTTCATGAACCTCAAGAACTCGCCCCAAGCTCCTGAAAACAGGTCCATGACCCCATGATTTAGGGTCATGACCCCATTTTGAAAGGGTCATGAAGACTCTAGGTAGAAATATGGGTGTCATTTGTTTGGTTGGACCCCCCCCCAATATTGGTGGTTTCCCTTTGGTTTCCTTTAAAACCACCAAAAATGGGACCCTCCAAAGCAGACACACCCATATAGTTCTCAGCGGCGAAGATCGGAGCAAGAGTTTCGGAATGTGGAGTTTGATAGGTGTGTTTTGTGCTCGTTTTCGAATGAGGGAATTCGAATGAGGGAATGACGCTCATGTTGTGGTTTCCTTTGTGAGAAGCAGGGGGTCCCTAATTTGCGTATTATTGCGGCCAAAACGTATGTGTTGCCCGCGACCGCTCGGAAGCGGGTCCCCCCAGACCTCCAAAAAGCTTGGCAGGCGCAGCAAAAACGCACTTCCGAGCTTGCCGGGCCCCACCCCACCTCCATGCGCCATACCCCCTTCATGGAGCGCGGCGACTTTTCCTGGTTATATAGTGCTATCAACACAACCCTAAACCTAAACCAGACAAGCGAGCCCTCGATGCGCCGGACAGCCAGCTCCAAGCAAACCTAAACCCGAAAAACCCTAAACCTAAACCCTAAAAACACTAAACCTAAGCCCTAAAGGCCCTCAAAGCCCTAAAAACCCTAAACCTAAACCCTAAAAACCCTAAACCTAAACCCTAAAAACCCTAAACCAAAACCCTAAAAGCCCTGGAAACCCTAAAAACCCTAAACCCAAACCCTAAAAACCCTAAACCTAAACCCTAAAACCCTAACCTAAGCCCTACAAACCCTAGACCTAAGCCCTAAAAACCCTGGAAACCCTAAAAACCATAAACCTAAACCCTAAAAACCCTAAACCTAAACCCAAAAAACCCTAAACCTAAGCCCTAAAAACCCTGGAAACCCTGAAAACCCTGAACTAAACCCTAAAACCCATAAACCTAAACCCTAACAACCCAAAACCCAAACCCTAAAAACCTTAAACCTAAACCCTAAAAAACCCTAAACATAAACCCTAAAAACCCTAAACCCAAACCTTAAGAACCCTAAGCCTGCCAGCACGATCATTCAGCGGATAATAAGAGAAATGTGGGCGACACGTATGTTTTGTGGGTATTATTGCTATCAGTATATTATAAGTATTATTTTGGAGGGGGCACTGAACGCGTCACGGGCTCAAGCCTGGTACAAAGCACGCGGTGTAGAAAGCCTTTGCACTCGAGCAAGACATCTGCCACATACCTCGTTCTAATCTGACATTTGCTTGTGTCCCCCAAACAAATGAGCAAATATGTCGAAAAAATATTTGTTGCTTTTCTTTAAAACCAAGGGACATCTTGAGCAAAGGAAGACTATTCCTCTTTAAAACCAAGGGACAATTCAGCAATATTCTTAAGCATGTCGAAGTAATCTCTCATGCAATAGGGTCCTTCGGCGCAAGCGACCTGTCCGGGTTCCCATTTGGGGCTTCCGGCAAACCAGACAAGGCAACGCTTCGCTCAAGTGGGCATGTCCCTTTCTTTTGGGGGAGCCCATTTTGGTCGGCTGTCAAAGGGAAACAAGCGGGAAACCTATCGTTTGAGCGATCCAATATTTGAAGACAAGTCTTGGACAAGGCAATCTTCACAAAGTACCAGGCCATGCGAATCGGTGATGATGACCGGGCACCAAAAAGCTGCATGACTTTGCATTGCAAAGGACACCTTCGGGTGCTTACTTCCATTTGCTTACAAAGGCAGGCAAAACAGACGCATGTGGGGATTGCTCAAAAATATGGCCCATTGACCCTGGTGCCGCCGATACGTGCCGCCTTTTAGAGGGGCTAAAGTGAAGCGGCCCCTAATTTCTACTTCCCGAGTGGATCTACTTCCCGAGTGGATCGGCAAAGCTACTAAAACGGTCTTCCCAAAAAGTGACTCAGGAACTCAGGAAGTTAGATTTTGACAACCTCCCGATGTCCGAACAAAAATAGCGCCAAGGGGCGACCAGACAAGATCACCACCCCTTGAGATAAACCAAGTGGCCAGTCCACCATCTCCACTTGCCGTGGACGGAGCACAATCTGCTGCATGAACTCGAAAATCAGGTAGCCTCAGCACAAGCTCAAGTCATCGCTTCCCGAGTTGGTGAGCCAACAAAAAGGTCACCCAACTTCTTGTCCACTCAAATGCCTGGATCTTCCACATCATGGGCATTTAACGTAAAACCCGGAGACTACCAGTTGTTTGAGGCTCTCAGTGGAAAAAACCGAGAAACAACCCGGAGACGGAAAACCGACCCAGGTGGACAAGTCTTACCAAACAATTTCAAGCTCAACTCGGGAAGTGAGAGTTGGGTGACCCGTTTTGGTTCTGAGTCCAACGGGTCCCAACATGTCAGCGTTTTTTTGTTTTCTTTTCAGAACCTGTGGCTGGGTCCCCGGAATACACCACCACCTGTTTTGAGGGCAGCCTCTTGGGGGTGGTTCAAGAAATTGAAAGGACAACACCACCTTTGTGGTTCCCTCATGAGACACACCAAAAAACAGGTGGACGATATGTCTTCCAATTGGGGGGGCTGTCAGCTGCTTGGCAAGGCTCGGATGTGTGCCGCAGCCAAACTCCCCAGCTGACCATGTCCGCACAAATCAGTTGCCAAACAAGGCAACCGATTAATCAAAAGCTCCCACGATGCGAGCTTCAGTCTCACGGAACAAGTAAAGCAAGATCACCGAAGCCGAAGCCTTGAGAAACCCTCTCCGAATCGGTCGCGACGCTTCAAGCCAGGGGACGTGTCGCCCTGTACAAAGATGGGAAACAAATGGTGCCTCAACATTAGGGGACCCTCAAAATGGCGGGATTTCCTTTTTGGTTTCCCGATAAAACCACCAAAGAGGGGGTATACCCTCAAAAAGACACCGCCAAATCCTGTATAATTTCAACTTCTTGGAGATGTTCCCTGAAACAAAGGGATTCCCTAGAAGTGCAGAGTCCCTCTTCAAGGGATCTTTGTATGTCCCATTGTTCCTAAGGAGAGTAAAAAGAGTCAAAAGGCAACCCCTGAACGCCCGCGAGCAGAAGCAACAAAAGATCTAACCATGAGAGGGTGTAACAATCAGGGACGTGTTTTGGTACTCACTCTGAAATGGCTCCACCCCTAGTTTATCTCGTTGGCCAAGAAGCAGGGCCAGGAACTTTGGGAGGGTGTTGGGGTGAAGATTCAGCATGTCCAAAACCAAGAGAGTGTCAGGGTGCAGAAAACCCTTTCAGCATGTTCAGAAAGCACTCCCATCGAAACTGACTGGAGCTTCCAAGTTACGAACCTCGGTTGTTTTCTGCTCCCCTGCCAAAAGTTTAACTTTTAATTAGTGGTTTCATACGGAAAACCCAAATTCGTTTGCAAAACAGAAGCGCAAGTCCTAAGATCCCTCGGCAAAAAAATTGCACAAAAGTGGATATATTCCAACGTCTCCGAACCCAGTAGCTTCCATCTTCGCTCCGAAAACCCCTCCGACTTCCGCGCAAATTTCTCTCAAGCTTATCGAGCGGCGGGGATCGAAGCCGCGGGCATCCTGCCAACTCCCGCGCCGATTTGTTTTTTGGAAGTGGGCAAGAGGGTTTGGAAGACTACCATCCTCTTAAAAAGGGCTGTTGTCCACTTTTTTTGGCTACTATGATTCGACTTGAACCCAGCTATCGAATGTGTATTCTATTGTTTGGGGTGGGGAGGGTTGATTGCAGGCAGGGCGGGGGTTGATCAAAGGCAGTGGGGGGGAGGGGGGGGTTGTCCTTTGGGGGGAGCGGAGGGGGTATGGTGGAGACTGAACGGGTCTATTTTGCAACTGCCTTCTTTTCTGGGCTGCCCTCAGATCCCCCACTAAAAGTTTAACTTTTAGGGGGTGAAATGGTACCACTAAACACTCAAGACTAAAAGGCTAAGGGGAATGGCTGGGAGCCACCAAGGAATGTATATTCTATTGTGTGCTTCCCTTTGAGTCACCGGTAAAATTTGTAAAACGTATCCTAAGTCTACCCCAGTTCTGTGGCTTTATGAATTTGGTGATTCAAAAGAATGCGCTCGCTTCCGATCGAGATGGGCCAAAATTACCGTTCAACATGGTCCAGACCCAAAAAGTGACTAAAGTCCGAAACGGAACTCAGGGCGAGAAGGACGCCTTCATGACTATCACATACTCTGCCACGTGACCTTTGGGCTACTTTAGCTTCCTTCTGTTTCTTTCTTTCTTTCTTTTTTTGGGGGGGGGAGGGGCATTTGACAGCCAGGGAACCCTGCGTGGGTTTTACGGGGTTGAGCCCAGCAACCAAACCAGTCCCTCGGGCTGCAAGTATCCGTGAAACGTGGCAGAGAACTCTCGTCATTGTCTGGCATAAAGATCAGCAGGTGCATGGCATTTCTCCCTTTTCTCCATTTGAATCCTGTGCAGCACTGTTTGGCTGCATTTGAATCCATTTGGCTTTGTGCAGCACTGTTTGGCTGGCATAACATGCCCCGTCGCTACGTGAGAGCACATCACAAGGATGCTCGGTTTGCTGAGTTGACTGGCCGGAAAGCTCCAACTCACAGGGCCCTTTACTAGAATGATGAACAAACCTACCGATAAAAAGCTTAAACATCTGCCACTCAGCCAGAAAGACCTTTGCCAATGTGCGATCCCTCCCGTTTCCCCAAACCGGATTTCATTTAAGCACAACCCGCACATCGAAAGGTCATGAAAATGCGTTTAGACGGATCGACTTTCAGCCCTCCCAGATCTGGCCCCACTCCCCCACAAGCAATCGCACGGACATCAAACCAGGGACCCCTCATTGAGGGAGGTTCCTTTCTGAAAATGGTGGGGTTTTGGGAGGTCCAGGTTGAATTGTAAACTCAGATGCCCAGTGGATTTCCATGACAAAAAAAAGGCATCTTTGTTCTTGGTTGGTTGACTTTAAAGGGGAACCCTCCCCCCAAAAAGGGGAAAACGGGCACCACTGGGCAACTGGGTAGAGGAATTGGTCATTGGAAACCACCAACCAGATTCTGACTTTGACAACCCACAATAGTCAAACAAATTACCCGAACAGATTCGGATCATGAACCCAAGGTGCTCACCAGTCCCCAAAGTCCCGAAATCCACAATGGGAAGAAAGGCCACTCTTGCTTGCTTGGGTTGTGTTTAGGGCTTACCCCTCCAAAGAAAGGTTGAACACGGGAAGCAAGACCCCCCTCGGGCACTTGGAGTCCGTTTTGCAGCCAAGAAGTTGCAAAATAGACTCTAAGTGTCCGTCATATCCACCCCACCCCGAAGAGAAAAGAGGAACATGGTAGACATACGGGGCTCACAACCATCCTTTTGGAAGAATAGGTTTCCCTGGCAAATGGATGGCATAACCCCCATCTAGGCCAGTGGCTTGCGCATCTATTCTTAAAGGGGCAGGGTACTTAGTAAGTGGTTAGAAGCCTGGTTATCATACAAGTCTCCTAAGTTGGTTTTAACCAGGCTTGCTAAGCTGCTAACCACTTCCTAAGCACCAGATCGCCTTAAGTTTGTGTTCAGCCCAACCTCTTCGCCCCTCTCGCCCCACCTCTCGGCTCTCTCGGCTCGCCTGCAGGTAGCACCTCTGCTCACACAGCAGCTCCGCCAGCTGCGCGCACTGCTGCCGCAGCTCCAGCCCGGCCTCCCCCCGAAACCGGACCCCCGGGCGTGAAGTGGTCGTCCCTTCGAAGCAACCTGGGGTGGGTACCGAGCAACGCGGAGGTGTCAGCAAGCTTCTGCGGCTGCTGCAAATTCCGCAAGAACCAACCCGGTGGGTACCCCCACAAAAAAAACATCCTACAAATTGACCCCAAAAATGATGTGTCAGCAAGCTTCTACAAATGAACCCCCCAAACAGAGGTGTCGGCAACCATCGAAAAAAACTTACCTCTTTTAGCAGCTAGTCCTTCGGGTATGACCCCCCAGCCATGATTCTGGCTTCCTTTCTTTGGAGCAGCCAAGTGAGACGATGCCCCCAGCGAGTCTTTGGCTCCAATCCTCGCGCCGCTCCTCAGGGCTCTCCGCGGAGTTCCGCCGCGCGGCGCGGCAGAGCTGCGCTGCGCGCCGAGACTGCAGCAGCCGCTGCGACAGCAGCGCCACCTGGCGCCGTCGGCGATGTCGGGGCGCGGAGAACGCGGGGAAAACGGGGCGACTCCAGTTTTTTTGGTTTTTGGCGGGGTGAGGAACCAAGGCGACTTTTGGCTTTTTGCGTTTTTGGCGGGGTGAGGAACCAAGGCGACTTTTGGCTTTTTGCGTTTTGGGGTGTGAGGAACCAAGGCGACTTTTGGCTTTTTGGGTTTTTGGCGGGGTGAGGAACCAAGGCGACTTTTGGCTTTTTGGGTTTTTGGCGGGGTGAGGAACCAAGGCGACTTTTGGCTTTTTTGGTTTTTGGCGGGGTGAGGAACCAAGGCGACTTTTGGCTTTTTGGGTTTTTGGCGGGGTGAGGAACCAAGGCGAGTTTTGGCTTTTTGGGTTTTTGGCGGGGTGAGGAACCAAGGCGACTTTTGGCTTTTTGGGCTTTTGGCGGGGTGAGGAACCAAGGCGACTTTTGGCTTTTTGCGTTTTTGGCGGGGTGAGGAACCAAGGAGACTTTTCGCTTTTTGCGTTTTTGGCGGGGTGAGGAACCAAGGCGAGTTTTGGCTTTTTGGGTTTTTGGCGGGGTGAGGAACCAAACTTTTTTGGGTTTTTGGCGGGGTGAGGAACCAAGGCGACTTTTGGCTTTTTGGGTTTTTGGCGGGGTGAGGAACCAAGGCGACTTTTGGCTTTTTGCGTTTTTGGCGGGGTGAGGAACCAAGGCGACTTTTGGCTTTTTGGGTTTTTGGCGGGGTGAGGAACCAAGGCGACTTTTGGCTTTTTGCGTTTTTGGCGGGGTGAGGAACCAAGGCGACTTTTGGCTTTTTGCGTTTTTGGCGGGGTGAGGAACCAAGGCGAGTTTTGGCTTTTTGGGTTTTTGGCGGGGTGAGGAACCAAGGCGACTTTTGGCTTTTTGCGTTTTTGGCGGGGTGAGGAACCAAGGCGAATTTTGGCTTTTTGGGTTTTTGACGGGGTGAGGAACCAAGGCGACTTTTGGCTTTTTGCGTTTTTGGCGGGGTGAGGAACCAAGGCGAGGCGGGTTATTTTGGCTTTTTGCGTTTTTGGCGGGGTGGAGGAACCAAGGCGACTTTTGGCTTTTTGCGTTTTTGGCGGGGTGATGGACCAAGGCGACATTAGGCTTTTTGCGTTTTTGGCGGGGGTGCGGACCAAGGCGACTTTTGGTTTTTGGGTTTTTGGCGGGGGCGTGAGGAAACAGGCGACCTTTTGGCTTTTGCGTTTTTGGCGGGGAGAGGGGTGAGGAACCAAGGCGACTTTTGGCTTTTTGGGTTTTTGGCGGGGTGAGGAACCAAGGCGACTTTTGGTTTTTTGCGTTTTTGGCGGGGTGAGGAACCAAGGCGACTTTTGGTTTTTTGGGGTTTTTGGCGGGGTGAGGAACCAAGGCGAGTTTTGGCGTTTTGGGTTTTTGGCGGGGTGAGGAACCAAGGCGACTTTTGGCTTTTTGCGTGTTTGGCGGGGTGAGGAACCAAGGCGACTTTTGGTTTTTTGGGTTTTTGGCGGGGTGAGGAACCAAGGCGAGTTTTGGCTTTTTGGGTTTTTGGCGGGGTGAGGAACCAAGGCGACTTTTGGCTTTTTGGGTATTTGGCGGGGTGAGGAACCAAGGCGACTTTTGGTTTTTTGGGTGTTTGGCGGGGTGAGGAACCAAGGCGACTTTGGGTTTTGTGGGCTTTTTGGCGGGGTGAGGAACCAAGGCGAGTTTTTGCTTTTTGGGTTTTTGGCGGGGTGAGGAACCAAGGCGACTTTTGCCGTTTTGGGATTTGGCGGGGTGAGGAACCAAGGCGACTTTTGGTTTTTTGGGTTTTTGGCGGGGTGAGGAACCAAGGCGACTTTTGGCTTTTTGGGTTTTTGGCGGGGTGAGGAACCAAGGCGACTTTTGGTTTTTTGGGTTTTTGGCGGGGTGAGGAACCAAGGCGAGTTTTGGCTTTTTGGGTTTTTGGCGGGGTGAGGAACCAAGGCGACTTTTGGCTTTTTGGGTATTTGGCGGGGTGAGGAACCAAGGCGACTTTTGGTTTTTTGGGTGTTTGGCGGGGTGAGGAACCAAGGCGACTTTGGGTTTTGTGGGCTTTTTGGCGGGGTGAGGAACCAAGGCGAGTTTTTGCTTTTTGTTTTGGGGGTAGGAACCAAGGCGACTTTTGGCTTTTTGGTGTTGGAGGTGAGGGAACACAAAGGCGACTTTTCTTCTTGGGTTTTTGGCGGGGTGAGGAACCAAGCGACTTTGGCTGTGTGGTTTTTGGCGGGTGAGAACCAAGGCGACTTTGGCTTTTTGGTTTTTGCGGGTGAGGAACAAGGCGGCTTGTTGGCTTTTTGCGTTTTTGGCGGGGTGAGGAACCAAGCACTTTTGGCTTTGTTTGCGTTTTTGGCGGGTGAGGAACCAAGAGGCGACTTTTGGGCTTGGGGGTTTTGGGCGGGTGAAGGACCCGCAAGGCACTTTTGGCTTTTGGGTTTTGGCGGGGTGAGGAAACAAGGCGACTTTTGCTTTTTGGTTTTTGCGGTGACAAGGCACTTTGGCTGTTTTGGGTTTTGCGGGTGAGGAACAAGGCGACTTTTTGGCTTTTGGGTTTTTGCGCGGGTGAGGAACCAAGGCGACTTTGGGTTTTTGGGTTTTTTGGCGGGGTGAGGAACCAAGGCGAGTTTTGGCGTTTTGGGTTTTTGGCGGGGTGAGGAACCAAGGCGACTTTTGGCTTTTTGCGTTTTTGGCGGGGTGAGGAACCAAGGCGACTTTTGGCTTTTTGCGTTTTTGGCGGGGTGAGGAACCAAGGCGACTTTTGGCTTTTTGGGTTATTGGCGGTGTGAGGAACCAAGGCGACTTTTGGCTTTTGTGTTTTTGGCGGGGTGAGGAACCAAGGCGACTTTTTGCTTTTTGGGTTTTCGGCGGGGTGAGGAACCAAGGCGACTTTTGGGTTTTTGGGTTTTTGGCGGGGTGAGGAACCAAGGCGACTTTTGGCTTTTTGCGTTTTTGGCGGGGTGAGGAACCAAGGCGACTTTTGGCTTTTTGCGTTATTGGCGGTGTGAGGAACCAAGGCGACTTTTGGCTTTTGTGTTTTTGGCGGGGTGAGGAACCAAGGCGACTTTTTGCTTTTTGGGTTTTCGGCGGGGTGAGGAACCAAGGCGACTTTTTTGGCTTCTTGGGGCTTTTGGTTGGAGTTCCTGAAGCTCCAGCATGTACTTTGGTTGTGAACGGCCTGGGCCTACCAAAAGCGGGTCTGGGAGGACTAGGAGGGAAGCACAAGCCATTTCAGCTCACTGCTCGTCTTGAGGGTTCCGTACGACGTTTTGAGGCTGTCCGAAGGGAACGTGCCTTTTCCTCGGGAAAATACAAAGCCCATCTTTGGAGGTGTACGACTTGTTGGGTTGGGGGGGTTCAAGGGAAACCACAGAAAACAAGGCTTCACCCTTCTGGCTATTGGGGCGTCCTTTTTCGGGGCGTCTTTTTGTGGAGTCGTACGACTTGTTGGGGGGGTTCCAAGGGAAATCAAGGAAAACTAACTGCTTCTCCCACCCTTTTTGGCTTTCCCTCAAGAACATACAAGCCCCATGAATTGACTTTCGGCCATGTTCCTGGAAAGTATCCCACTTTGGCCACTCAAAAAGTTCAGCTTCTCATCAACTTGTGACTGGTCCGGACCCCCAAACTGCCCGAGATAAACGAATGACCACCAGATATTTCGCAGCTGAATTAAAAAGGGCACCCCCCAAAAGGCGAGAAAAAAACACTCTGGACGTGTCCGGCTTCGGTGTTGCCTTGAGCGACAGCGAAAGCACCAAGTCCGTGTCAGAGGCGAAAGGGTTCAGCCTCAACAGCTCCTCCTGACAGCGAGTGGTGCAAAGCCACAAACCAGGAACTCTTGCCATATGGGTATGGGTCAAAATGAAACCATCACAAAACCGCAGGTTTTCGTCCTTGGTTCCATTTACCCGGGCAAGCCATTTTGGGTACCTATTTTTGACCCAGCCATATCTTGGACTGGGGTACACAAATGTTCAGACTATGTGTTCTTGCTGTTTGTTTCTTTAATACTGCGGATGGTTTCGCGAAATCCATGTCGCACCGCGAAATGAAACCATGGTGGAAACCATAACGTTGGTTGGTGTTTACGTTGCGGAATCGATCATTGCAGGGTTCTGAACGGTGGTGCGAAATGGATTTTGGTCCACCCACATTATGATGTTCAGATTCTGTTTCATTCATTTAGCCTGCAATCACAACAGGCTTGGAAGGACCCAAAACATGAAGTGGATATACCCATTGAAAGGCCAAGGGCCTGTGGATCCCCAAAAATGTCCAACTTCCTCACAGTGGAGAACAAAGGAACCCTGGCATTTCGGCGCCGATCCCAATTTTGAGAATCCCTGAACGGAAGATCAGCCTACACGGTGGTTTGGAGCTTGGAGTGGGTGAGTGTTTCAAGAAGAGTTGCCTGATACATCTCGGGGTGCCAGGGTATCCCACCAACAAACGCCCACCCAAAAAGACCTCACCAAAAAGCACCCCAAAAAACAAGCACCAAAAAACAAACACTGGTATGTCCAGCAGGTATGTGTCAAAGGGCCCAACAATTGGATTCTGGCGGTTCTTTTGGTGTCCTTTTAAACCAACCTGACAAAGGGCACCAAGCCTCAAACAAGTCACAAACTTAAATGGCTCTAACTCCAATTTAATCTTCCTTTGGCTTCCCAGAACATACCAAAAAAACAAACAAAAAAGTGTACCCTCCCCCAAAAAATACATAAAACGGCACTTCAAAGAATAAAACCAAAAAATCAAACAGCATACAACAAAATCAGCAAAATTCACAGAAAACAAGATAAGAACCACCAAGCAACTCAAAAACCAGAACAACCCCCAACAAAATGTTTAATCAAAGCATAAAACATTAAATAATTCAAACAAGCATACCAACAAAAAAGCAAAAATAAAAACCATCAAAGAACACAAACTCAAAAACACACATCAAAAAAAACAAAGCAACATACCAACAAAAAATATCAGAAGAGTATCAAACAAAATAAAATACAAACAGCCAAAGCACGAAAAAATCAAAAGAGCATACCAAGTTCAAACAACGCACTTTGAAAGAGTCAGCCAAATCAAGGAAAATTAAAATATTTCAATCTTTACAAACTATAAGTACAGTATAATTATAACATATAAGATTTTACATGTTATTATTATAGTATGATTATAGATAATATGAATAAACCTATTTTCAGTGTTTCCAGTCTCCTATGTTGTTCCAAGAACTGCTTAAGATGGTTCTGATATTATACCAGATTAAGTTAACGTCATAATCTTTCATTGGTGCTCTTTGTTGTATTAAATAACGCAACACTGATATCAAAGTATAATAATTACAATGCATTGTTGTCATTCCTCCTCTTTCATTAATACTATTACCATTATGTTTAACGAGTTCTTCTTTCATTATGTTTTCGTAAATCTCTTTTATCCATTGATGATTTTGTTCTCCATACTCGGCGAACATATCTAGATATATATCTTCCATTGTTTTATCGTTTTTAATTATTTCAATGACTTGTTTATACGATGGATAGGGATTATCCTTAATGAAACTCAATATTATCTTTCTATCCTGTTCCAGCTCTTTTTCTGTCACTCCTATCATTGGCATTTTCCTCTTAATATATTAAGGCATTATTTCTTTAAGTAGATTTTAAGTAGAAAAAATAATTATAACATTTAACCAAATAAATGTTATAAATATGTATGCTTATTCTGGGTCATAAATAAGATTTGTATAATAATCTTTCCCAAAATGAGTAAAACATTTAACTTCATTATTCTTCATTATCTCTTCATCAAACTTATCAAAGGTTATACATGCTCTGTTATTCTTACTACACCACTTTTTATATCTAGCATACATTCCCTGTTTATAAACAACATTACTTTCATTAAATGATATTAAATAATTGTCACAAACAAAGTCAAGAACAAGGAAATGCGGTGTTTCTTTTATTGCCTCAAGTTCTGAAAACATAGTTATTTATATATAATAATATGTCTTTAAGTATTCATATATTAAATTAACTTAAAGAAATAAACATATATTAAATTATATAGTATAGTATTATGAAACATGTTATAGATTATCTACTAAATAATGACAAAGCGGAAATACCAAAAAGAGGAAACAAGGAATTAAAATCAATAATTGTAGATGGTAGGAAATTTAGATACAACAAAGAAAAACCTATCTCGAATGTTTTGAACAAGAAATTAAAATCAGTAGCAAACACCAATGAATATAATAGTCATGCTACAAAAACAATTCGCTCAACATACCTTAAACAAAGATTAAAAAATGCCATGACAAAATACGCTATAAAAAAACAAATTCAGAATAACAGACCAACAATCAGCATTCAAAAGTTATGCTAATTCTATAAAACTAGTAAATAAACATTTTCAAGGTGAAAAGGCACTATCAATGATACACTACCAAAAAGATAGACTTTTAACCTTTTTGAAAACTAATAGAGCTATGAAACTGAATATAAGGGCAGAAGGTTTATTTTATCATTATTATGATGATGATGGAGTAATAAAACATACAGAGATACTTTATAATTTACCTGCTACAAGGTCAAACATATATAATGAAACCGATTTGGATGAAGCAATTGAAAAATCAATCAAAGAGATTTTATTGAACATAGAAAAGTTAGAAGGTTCAGCATCTAATTTAAAATTTATAAAGATATTATCAATCACATTACATTATGACAAATATGACCCTACTAGGGCAGGTAGTTATATTGACTTACCAGATTGGATTAAACATAAGAAAGCATGTATCAATATTCAAAATAGAGATAATAAATGTTTCAAATATTGTATTCAATCAGTAGTATTTGATAAGATTAGTAAAAGTCACCCAGAACATACTTTTCATTACAACAAATTAAATGACAATATCTTAAACTGGGAAGGTGTTAAATTTCCAACTGGTAATAAAGATATTGAAAGGTTTGAAGAAAATAATAGTAAGTTAGTTTCAATCAATGTTTATGAAATTGATGATACTTTGAATGAAAAGAAAATTATAATTGATTACAGAACTAAAACAAGAGATGCTAAACATCAAATAAACCTTTTGAAAATTGAAATCAATAATAATAATCATTATGTAGTTATTAAAAGTCTAAGTCGTCTAATGAACTGGCAAACAAACAAAAATGACCAACCAAAACATTATTGTCATTATTGTTCTCATGCCTTTACTAGAAAGGATTTATTAACAAAACATTATGAAACTGGTTGTATGGCAACACATGGACAACAGTTTAAATTACCAAAAGAAGGTAGTTATATTGAATTTGAAAAATACAATACAAAATTAAAATGTCCATTTGTTGTTTATGGAGATTTTGAGTGTATAACTGTAAATTCAAATAATGGCATCAAGGGCACGTATCAGGAACATAAACCATGCGGTTATATGTTGAATGTTGTAAATTCTATTGATAATACAAGTCAACCTTTTTTATACCGTGGAGAGGATTGTTTAGACCACTTTGTAAATAAATTAAGAGAAATTAAAAAAGATATTTTTGATAAAATGAATGTTAATAAACCAATGGATATTACAGATGAACAAGAAGCAGAATTTAGAAAAGCTACTGTATGTTCAATATGTAATAAGAATTTTAAACCAGAAGATATAAAAGTCAGAGACGCCTCGCCAGAGGCTCACGAGACTACCCTTTCTTCCAAAGGAAGAAAGGTTCGTGACCACTGTCATTTTACCGGTATTTATAGAGGTTGTGCTCACGAAAAATGTAATTTGGATTATTCATTTAGATATTTCAAGATACCAGTATTTTTTCATAATTTAAAAAACTATGACTCTCACTTAATAATAGGCAAAGCAAATGAAATAAATAAGGAATTGAACGAAAATAAGAGAATAGATGTAATAGCACAAAATAGCGAAAAGTTTATTACATTTTCATTTGGTTCATTACAGTTTAAAGATAGCATGGCTTTTCTCTCAGCATCTTTGGATAAATTAGTTAAGTTAAATAAATATGACATAGTAGGTAAAGATGAACATGATAAACCTATATATAAAAAGCGGAATGACTGGAAGGATAATTTCCGATTTTCATCAGCAAATCCATATATTAGAAATAAAACCGATTTAGACTTATTAACTGAAAAAGGAGTTTATCCTTACGACTACATGAATTCATTTGATAAATTCAATGAATCACAATTACCAAGTATAGAAGACTTTTACAGTCAATTATATGAAGAAGGCATAACAGACACACAACACACAAGGGCAAAAGTAATATGGGAAAATTTCAATATCAAAAACCTAGGTGAATACCATGATTTATATTTGATGACAGATGTTTATTTGCTTAGTGATGTTTTTGAAAACTTTAGGGATATGTGCTTAAATTATTATGGTTTAGACCCTGCTCATTACATAACATTACCTAATTATTCGTGGTCTGCCTTCTTATCTCTTACTGGTGTTAGACTTCAACAAATACATAATAAAGACATGTATGAAATGATTGAAAAAGGTCTTCGTGGCGGGATGACTCAATGTGCTCATAAAAAAGTAGAAGCAAATAATAAATACATGAATGAACAATATGACTTGTCAAAACCATCAAGTTATATAAGTTATTTAGATGCTAATAACTTGTATGGTCTGGCAATGAGTAAGAAACTACCGTTTGATAAGTTCAATTGGTATTTTTCAAGGATGGATGAGAATAAAGTATTAAGTTATAGCGATGATGATGACAAAGGCTATATTTTAGAAGTTGAT